ATAGGATCCGAATCCGCGGTGGGAGCTTCGCTGCGCTCCCAGCGCCGTACTCTCCCGAGTGCGCCACGGGCTCGGCCCTGCTTTTTTTTTTTAATGGGAATTTTTTTTTAGTAAAAGGAGACAGACTAATATTATTGCCTAAAAAGATTTTTTCGTTATTAGGCTTTAATTGTAGAATTGGAAAGGCTCATGAGTGATCACCTGATTCCTCCTCTGCACTTTTAAGCCATCACTGATAGGTGAAAAAAATATTGTAGCATTTAATAGTATTTACTCTGTGCCAGGTATCTGGTATATTTTAACTCTTCAACTCTGACATTCACCCAACAAGATAGGTCTGTTATTATCCCTACATATCATATGAGGAAACTTCAGTACAAAGAAGTTCAGCAACTCATCCCATAAAAATCATAGCTGGGACTTGAACCCAGGAGCCAAATCTGTGCTATTAAATTACCACCTGCCTCTTTCCCTTTCTTCCCTTTTTTCTAGAATTTCCAATTCCAAAGGTTAACTTTTATTCTCATTTTCTTTTATCTAAATGTAGTTTCCTCAGCTTGTAGTTTGTCTCCTTTTTCAGTTTGTTTTCCTTTTCCTGAGCCTGATAAAGTACAAACAGCACTTTTCTCCCTTTCTATTGCTGCTCAGTTCTTTCATCTTCCTCCTCCAGCCCTCAGACCATTTCTAAATTCTTAAGTTATACTACATGAGGACTGCTGCATTAGTGGCTGCTGCTATAATAATGGCTTGACTAGTTCTGAGTAAAATAGTATTAATAGCATAGTTACCTCGTGGTTTCTACATATAATCTCTATTCCTGTTTTCCACATCTTTTTTTTTTTTACTATATTTGCAAAAACGCATTCTTCTTGCCTTAGAGCTTGCTATTACTGATGCCATTCTGTGTATTCATGAATATGTCTCAGATTTCTCAAGACCTTTGAATTTTGACCATAATCCACAAGCATGCTAAGCACAGTTGTCTTTGTGTGGACATTGTATAGGATTTATACAGGTTCATTTATGAAAGTGTATAAGTGTGTATCCTGGGATCTCCTGGCCCTTGAGAAACACTGCTATTAATGTGTTAAATAATAGTGTAAATTCCCATAGAGTGTAAAATTGTCAAAGACAGTTGCATGACTCAGTTTGATAATTGGGTACTTTGGGCCAGCTGTTGGTGCATTATCTTCCTGACTGAATCCCAGGGAAAAGAATAAAGCATGGAATTCCTTCTTCCACACTTCCACACCGAACACTCCTCACTGATATCCCCCACACCCCTTCTCTACTTAGCTTAATCTAGTGGACCCTCAACTTTTACTGAAGACAAAATCATGCTGATGAGATTTTTGCTTTCTAAGCCAAAAATAATTGTGACGTGATTACCCTGTACCACACTACACCGAGTTTGCAACAGTGAGTTTACAGTGTCTGCTGCTGCATTTTGTTAAATAAAGAAGAATTTCACAGGATCATAATTTGTAAATTTAGCTTTTTTCTTCTGTCCTTAACTTTCCACAATAATATTTAATATTTAGGGTCAGAGGTGACTGGGGATGGGTGAGGAGCAGCCCCCTTGTATGTACCTTCTTGACTGTGCTGCCGGGGGTTTTATTATGGGTGTTGGAAAGCTGGAATTGTCTCCCCCTAATGGTCCTGACTTCTGTGCAGGAGCCCCCTAGACTCGGTACCTGCTGCTCCAGCTCCAGCTCCATTACAGCAGGATCTCAACTACTTTCCCAGACCCTTTCTTTGAAGGTGATGCACATATTAGCTGAAATCCAGTCTATAATATGTCTAGTGAGTGCAGCCGGAATCCCTTTTAACTGGAGTGTTTATATTCCTGTAACCTTCTACCCAGATTGTGATAACTTTGGCCAGTGGATCAGAGGTGAAGGAGGGAGTATTTTTCTTCCTGCTGGGGAGCTTAGGTGTTCCCATTGCCTGCTGTTCTTACCTCTCTTATATTGTAACTTACCTCTTTCTACATAGGTCTCCCTTGCCTGCCTGAAATTGTCAAAGAACATGAGCCCAAAGTTCAGGGCTTGGCTTACTGAGTTTCTATAGTGGTAATCTTCATGCTTTTCCCACCTCATTCCAGACATTAGTCAAGATGGTTCTATTAGTACCACTCCAAGGAACCTCTTAGAAATTGGCCAGGGGACTTATATACCATACATATATGTGTTTGAACAAAATGTGATTTTTCAGTTATAGACTTGCAACCAAGATTTTTGGAGTACAACTACCTTTAGTCCAATTCCACACCTCTGTCCAGGTACATATGAAGGGCTTGGTACATGTACAGTTGTATTGAATTCCTTTATAATAATAGTGCAGGGGGAGGGATCATGTGGTAAATAGAATAGGAACCTCAGTGGAGGAAGAGAATAGAGCTGGGATTACTGCAGTGCCTGAGGATGAGGGGAAAGAGGAGAACAGGGCAGGCGTGCCATCAGGGCACTACACCAGACCGGTGTGGGTGGTCACAGACATTCTAGGAGGTATAGACAGATGTTAGCAGAGGTGTGAGTAGAGGTAGGGTCTGTGACCCCAGGGTCAGATGGAACCCTGGGAATGCAAAGTTCATGTGGGATGACGTGGTGTGAAGAGAAGGTGGAGGACCCAAGAGATGATGGCCATGTTGGAAGGAGAACAGCAGGAGCTGGTGACACTGGGGAAAGGTCAGGAGGAGAAGGCAGGGAACCCCATCAGCAGCAAGGTGTTGTAGCAGATGTGAGGGAAAGGAGTTGCTGGGGACAGCAGGAGCTGGTGACACTGGGGAAAGGTCAGGAGGAGAGGCAGGGAACCCCATCAGCAGCAAGGTGTTGTAGCAGATGTGAGGGAAAGGAGTTGCTGGGACCATGACAACTTTGGTGGCAGTTGGTAGTATTGGGGCAGTTCTATGTATTATATGGGGGTACTTCAAAATATTCCTGGAATGTTCATGTTATCTTTTAACTCTGTTTCCATGAACTTTTTGAAGTACCCTCGTAACATGGTCAGCCAGTGATTGATGATGAAATTGTATGTAATCATGGGGAGCCTGGGACTGGTAAAAACACAGAGTTACCAGGTTTGACTTAGCCTGCCAGGGAATGAGATCATATGTGACCGTAATGCTGAACAAACAGGATTCAAAGGGTGCATCAGAAATTTATTCTCTCTTCCTCTGCCTTCCTTGCATGTTCAAACCACTCTGTGAGGCTGAGTTTTCTGTTCCTGGATGAAATCTAAGACAAACTTGGTTGCTTCTCTGGCTTCTCTCAGATTTAAAAAAAATTTTTAAAAAAATTTTAAAAAACTTTAATAATTTGTATCCATAAAAACACAGTCTCAGCTCAGTAGGTGTTATGTTTGGTCTGGTCCAGTGTAATGATACGTATTTTAGGCATTAAAAGGTAAGGCTTCTCCCTCTCCCAGCTTCTGCTTGCTGCAGATGCGATGCCTGCAGTAGGGAAGAGAGTGATGACAGGCTGCTTCTCCCTGGTCCTCCCCAACACATTTGCTCTTCCTCCCGTGTGTGGTTTCAGTTCCTGAACACACTGCACAAAGATTCACTTAGGGTAGGTAGCATAGTTTTGTACCCAGTAGTCTACTACTTCTTCTCCCCTATGCCCCTGGTTTCTCATAACCATTATTCTACTCTCTGCTTTTATGAGAACCTTTTTTTTTTTTAAGATTCCATGTATAAGTGAGATCATGTGGTATTTGTCTTTCTGTGCCTGATTTACTTAACAGGATGGTTTCCAGTTCCATCCATGTTGCTGCAAATGATAGGATATCATTTCCTTTTATAGCCAAATAGTATTCCATTGTATATATGTATACCAAATTTTTTTATCCATTCATCTGTTGATGGACATTTAGGTTGATTCCATCTCTTGGCTATTGTGAATAGTGTTGCTATGAATATGGGAGTGCAGGTGTCTTTTTGATATACTGATTTCATTTCTTTTGGGTATATACCCAGTAGTGGGATAGCTGGATTGTAAGGTGGATTTTGTTTTAGTTCTCTGAGGAACCTCCGTACTGTTTTCCACAGTGGCTGTACCGATTTACACTCCAACCAACAAAGTAGGAGAGAGTTCCCTTTTCTCTGCATCCTTGACAGTATTTGTTATTTTTTGTTTTGTCAATAATAGCCATACTGACTGGAGTGAAATGATATCTCATTGTGGTTTTTATTTGCATTTCCCTGATGATTAGTGATTCTGAGCATTTTTTTCATGTGCCTGTTGGCTATTTGTATGCCTGTTTTTTGAGAAATGTCTCCTCCTCCATTTCTGTACTTCTCTCACCTGTTTTCCTTGACATGGGGGAAGAGGGGATATACCATCTTTGCTGTCATCCCAGTGGTATGATGTTAAGTTTTCCATATGATCCAATTTTTTGAGAAATGTCTCCTCCTCCATTTCTGTACTTCTCTCACCTGTTTTCCTTGACATGGGGGAATAGGGGATATACCATCTTTGCTGTCATCCCAGTGGTATGATGTTAAGTTTTCCATATGATCCAGGCAGCCTTACTTCAGATACAGATCATGTTGACTTTTCAGTACTTAAGGGATATCTAGGTAGAAATACTCTTTTTGTCCTAAGAGAGAAACAGGAGCTAGAAATATAGATGTGGGGGTAACTGCTGTGCAGATGGTTGTTGAAGTCATGAGAGTGGACACGGTTGCCCAGGCAATGGATCTCACAGAGACACTGCATTTAAGAAGCAGGAGAAGGTAAAGGAGCTGGCAAAAGGGTGGAAGCATCATTCGATGCTTAGAAAAAGCTCTAAAAAGGGCAGAACATGTGGGAGTCAGCCCAGAGTTATGCCTATTAGGAATGTCTAGTCTTTACCCAATATGGGGAACTTATAATACATAAATTTCTGTTTTAATTGTTTAACAAGACCCTATACTGTTTTCTTCCTATTTTGAAAATTGATGTTAAGTTCATTTTAGAATTTCTAATTCTTTGACAAATTTTAACTCTTTTTTTTTCCAGTTGTGTATGAACACAGATCAAGATTAGAAAAATCCTTGCAAAAGGAAAGACTTGAACATAAGAAAGCAAAAGAAGGTAAATAAATAATGCAATCTGTATTCCATGTTTTTCTCATACTCTTCTTTAAAGCACCATGTACTTGCTTTAGTATTTTTTTGCTAAGGTATTTTTTTTAGATTAACCCAGAGTGAGTACTATGGTGGACAGAGAAAGAAATGTCAAATAGTATGTTATGCATTGTGCAGTAATTCCTACTCAGGACTGGATTTAGAATCTTCCATTCAACTTGTGGCACTTTGAGGTAGTTCATACATTGGTTATAAATATTATTTCAAAAATAGCATATAACTTTTCATCTGAACATTATACAGGTATATTACTAATACCTGGAACTTCTGTCCATAGATATCCAGGAAAAAAAAAAAAAGTAACAGCACATATTATCTAGAATATGACAAATTTATTACACACACACCTTTATAACAATTAAGATTTTATTGGCACAGCTAATTGGATTAGTTTGAAAAATTAACATTTAAAGCAGGTACTAGGCAGTGCAGTGCCATTAATTTTTATCAGAATTTTTTCTGTAAAGCACAGGCCTCATAGAGCTCATGATTCAGAATTATCTGCATTCTTATTTTTATTTATTTATTCATGGTTTGTGATAAATCTTGAAATTTAAGTTAGGTGTTACCTAACTCTCGGTGGGGTAACAGGAGGGAGAGCAGGCAAGAGTGGTAAGGGTTAAGATGTATTCCTGACACTTGGATTGAGCCTGTGTGAAAAACAGAAGTTTAACATCATTAAAATGCTTTGATAGGATTTGAGTTTTCTTGTCTTCAAATGCAGAGTGATTTTATAGAGCCATCTAGTGGATAATAAAGTTTTTAGAGCATTAAAGATGGCTTGGATGGCTTGATTTCTCTTTTCAGATCCTGAATGATTTTAGTGTGCCATCTAGTGGATAGCAATAAATCACCCTTGTCTTCAGAGGTGCTTCATTTTTTTCCTCCTAAATTTCAAGGAGAGTTAATCACAGAGGTGTTCTAAATGCACTTTCAATCAATTGGTTATAATGTGGATTTTGCTGATGCAAGATTTACAGCTTTAAGGTAAAGAGGAATATTATATAATATTTTTTCAACTCTTTCTAAAGCATTTAAAGCATTGAGAGGCAAAATGAAGTATGTAAATCACCAAGTAGATTGTTTTAAACCTAAAACAATTTCTGCAAGTCTTAGTAAAGTTTGTCTTTATTCTTCTGAAAGTTTAAAAACTCCACAGTAAATTAAGTTATGTTCTATTTTCTCCATTTTGTATTTTCTAGATTTTCTTGTTTATAAATTAGAAGCACAAGAAACACTAAATAAAGGAAGGGTAAGTTTTTTTTTTTCCTTAATTTGTTTTCATGAAACTTGAAAGAGAGGGAAATATAATTGAAACATCTTTTATTTTATTGATAACTAGTATTGTAGGACTGAAATACAATTATTATTATTATTTTTTTTTGCTACCAAAATATTCTAACGGGAAGACCTTAAAAATTGTTCTTTTAAAACCTACCTTATCATATTATTGATAATAGTGATAAATTGGGAATAGTCTCAGTGTTCAACAGTGAAAAAAATATTACTTTTATTAAATTATTTATCTGTTTATAGTTTCTCTTTTTCTCAGAATATAATATTTATTTTGGTTTGCCTTTCTATGTGTGATGTCTAACACAGGACCTAGCCTAGAGTTAGCATTTAAAAACATTTGTGGAATGAATGAATGATACTGGCATTTAAAAACATTTTAAAAATCCAAATTAACTGGAGAAAAGCAAGTCTTTATCTTACTCTAAGAAAAATATATAAGCATTAGTTGAATAAAACACTGGCATTTTGGGGTATTAAAACTGAGTGTAACTTGTAAGTGTAACTTCCTTACAAGTTAAAGTAATAAAGCAGTAAAATAAAGTGATAAGGCAAAAATGTGGTTCATTTTAGAAGTTGTAAAAATATGGAAAAAAATGCATGAGAGAGGACATGTGCTGGTGATGGGTAAAGCAGAGGGTGTAGTAAGTAAAGATAAAATAGCACCACATAGGGAGCAGGGACACTCCAGGGTCTTTTGTGTACTGACTCTTTATGGCTGCCCAGGGCTGGAAATGTGTGGGATGCACATGTGAAGATCTCCCACTAGGACACACAGATAAACACTGGAACACGAGCTCAGAGCATGCAGTTCAGCAGTAGACTAGGCATAGACAAGTTTCAGACCTGGCTCTGCTCCTTAATGAAATGTTTGCCCTTGGCATGTTCCTGTGCACATGTGAAGATCTCCCACTAGGACACACAGATAAACACTGGAACACGAGCTCAGAGCATGCAGTTCAGCAGTAGACTAGACATAGACAAGTTTCAGACCTGGCTCTGCTCCTTAATGAAATGTTTGCCCTTGGCATGTTCCTTATCCTTTCTTGCTTTCTCATTCTGTGAAATAGAGTCTCACTGGGATAAAATCATGTCTATAGAATTTCTTACCCACTGAAGTTCAGGGAAGGAAAACACCTTTTCTCTTCCTTCCATAGGCCATGCTGAGCTTGTGAGGCCTGTTCCTAGCTGGTTTACCCTTTCTTCCCTCTTACCTCAAGCACCCAGCACACTGTATTAGCCATAGCGGTGACTCTCTGATTCAGGTCAAGTTCCTCCACGTGTCTGGGCCTCAGTTCTTCTGAATATGAGAGGTGGAATGAAATTATCTCTAAGGACCCTGTCAAGCTACCATTTTATGATTCCATGTCCTGCTTTTTCATTACTAAAATTTAGCAAACTTACGGGAATATTAAAACTTCATGTCTGCTACTAAATAAAGAGATGGCCCCAGAGACATCCTGGCTTAAGTGCAGAATTCTTTTGAGCTTACACAAGTGAAATGAATGAAATTGTCATATTGAGAGCTTTAAGCTGTGTTTATCAAGAGAGCCAAATTCGTATATTTGTGTTGACTACGTTCTTTTCAATTCACAGCAAGATTCCAATAGCAGATACAGTGCACTAAATGTCCAACATCAGATGTTGAAAGTGAGTAATTTAAAGTTGTTCTTCATGAATAAAAGAAATGGCTAACTAGTATTTGAACTGGTTAACGGTCTTTGCAATGATTAAAGAAAGTTTACAGAAAATTGATTTGTATTTGTATTGTGTTTGGCTAAAAATTTTATATAGTTGCCCCAGTATATTTGTCACCTGATTACAGAGAACATATTTAACGTATTACATATTTTCTTATAAATTAGGCTCTCTGGTCACCTAATTTTTTATTTTGTTCTCCTTATCCTTTAAGGTTGGTTGTTTGTTTAATTTCTTATAGTGGTTTTCCATAGACATCTTCTTTTGTCTTAAACAAACTGGAGGCTGTAGAACTATTAAAATGCTTCCTTTTTTTTTTTTCCTTTTTGTCTTTTTTTCGTGTCCGGCAACGGATCGCAACCCTCAGTGTCGCGCCTGTACCGGACCGGACCGGCAATGGGATTGCAACCCTCGGTGTTGTGCCCACACCTCGCTCAGCCAGTGAGCGGGAACCGGTCTGTATGTGGGATCCGAACCCTCAGCGGGAGCGCCGCCATGCTCCCAAGCGGCGCACTGTAGCAGTGCGCCACCGGGCCGGCCCCAAAATGCTTCCTTTGTGTTACTAATACTTAACAAATGTCCTTTTACTTACCACAGGAACGCAATTTATTATTTAAAGATTCACCTTCCTTGGTCGTTGGGTAAAATTCAATACTCTGTGTCAGGAAGACCAAAAAAAAAAAAGAGAGAGAGAGAGAGAGAGAGTCATTGTTTCTGTCAGGCTCAAAGAGACAAGCACGATGCCGTCATGCCATTCTGCACAGCATGCAAGTCATGCCACAGTCTCCACCTTGCCAAGCCCCAGCTTTTTGTCTGGTATTGTCTTTTCCCCTAATATCGGTAGGGCATGTGCTTTTATCAAAATCTGAACCTTTCCTCTTATCAGGAGTGCAATACATGAATGAATTGAAGCCGACCATCCTTCCACATTAAGCATTTGGGGACTGTAGAGTTTATCTAGATTGTGATTACAGTGTAGGGTTTTAATTAGAAATAAGGTAAATAAGAGTCAATTCTATGAAAAAATCAGTTCAGTACTTTACACAAAAGGGAAATGAGTCTTCTTTTTTTTCTTCCTTTTTAAAAAAATCTTTTAAACTGAGTTACCAGAAAGGCTGAAAACCAAAGAAGAGAAAGCAGATGTGTTGCTGGAAAAACATAACATTAAAAGAGGAAATTGAGACTATCCATGCAGGGATAATTTGGCCACTAGCTTTATACCTTGTTTTCACATTAAGTTGAGTCCCTTGGAAATTTCTCCAAATCCTTCCCTTTTCCATCTCTCATGCTAACTTCTTCTTGTTCCCATTGATGTTAAAAATTAAGGGAAACATTATTTTTGGCCGTGATCCCACACTGTTCATTTCAAATGTAGAGGAAATGGAGGGGAGCTGCACAAATTAAAAGCAACCATTGGAAAAGGAAGCCTATTTCTTCATTTGTTCTTACTCTCTTGCAAGAGAAAGGATACGCTGTCAAGAAATAAACCCTGATATGATTTAGAGAATGTGTATCTCTGCTCAAGTTTTCACCTTTGCAGAGTCAACATGAGGAGTTAAAGAAACAGCACAGTGACTTGGAAGAGGAACATCGCAAGCAAGGGGAAGACTTCAGCAGAACATTTAATGACCATAAGCAGAAATACTTGCAGCTTCAACAAGAAAAAGAGCAAGAACTTTCTAAGCTAAAAGGTATTTGGAAATCCAGTTAGCCAGTTTTCATGTAAATAAGTACTCATATTAATGTTTCAGTCGAACAACAGACTTTGGTTTTATGTGGTGGTTGATTCACATTTATCATCATGTGGTCCTTTACCAACCACTCACTTGATTGTAACAGTTCACGTTTATCTTTCTCTCCTTGGGTTCATTTAGGGAAGCAGAATAGAATACAGAGTGTGTTCTATTGTATCTCAGTGGGGCACAAGGCCGTGCTGGGCAAGGCAACTGTTTTGTGTGTTGGGAGACATTTAGCATCTTTGATCCCTATGCCCTGAATACTGTCAGTGCTCCTCAGTTACTAGTGTGATAAAAAATTGCTCCACACATTTCTAAAAATCTCCAAGGGGGCAGAGAGACTTGCTGTTGATTGCTAATAGTAGCTGAGAAGAGCTCAAGCTCTAGTCAGACTGCCTAGGTGAGTCTTGGCTTCTTCAGTCACTTGTTACGTGACTATGAGCAAGTTGTGTAATCACTGAGGGCTTCATTGTACTTATCTGTAGAATTGGGATAATCATACAATGTAGTAATCTTGTAGGGTTGGTGTGAGGATTAAATAATTTATGTAAAGCATCTAAAGTAGTTATCCATACATAATACATTAAATGCCATCAACATCAGCATCGGCTATTTTCATATGGAACAGAATGTATCACTTTTCTGAGTGCATGTGAGATCCAGAAAAGAAAACCAGGCTGTTCTACAGTTAAATATTTATGTCCTAAATAAGTTTAAAGTCAGAAAATTGGTTTCAAAAGGCATAGGCGCATGCAAAAACAGTAGTGAAATCTGAATAAGGTCTGTAGTCTGGTTAATTGTACTGTGCCGAACAATTTTCTGGTTTTGGTGGTGTACTACATTTATATAAGATATCATCATGGAGGGAAGCTGAGTGATGGGTCCTTAGGATCTCTCTATAATTTTATTTTGCAATGTTTGTCTGTAAGTACACCACATAATGACATTTTGGTCAATGATGGATCACATATGTGACAGTGGCCCCACAAGATTATAATGGCTTTACGATATAGCCTAGGTGTGTAGTAGGCTATACTATCTGGGTTTGTGTAGGCACATTCTGTGGTGTTTGCACAGCAATGAAATTGCCTACTGATGGCATTTCTCAGAATGTGTCCCTGTTGTTAAGTGAGGCATGGCTGTATTTCAAAAAAAATAACAACATTTTGTTTAGGTGTTAAGTAGTCATTGAGGCAAGACTACAGAAGGTTAAGGTGGCCTTGTTAGGGTTGGGCTAAGTGTTGGCAGATGATACCCAAGAGATGTGGACATGAGGGACCTTGACTTGATGATGTGTCAGGTGGTGAGGGGTTGTTGGAGATAAAAAGGAAGATAGAGGAAGAAAGAACCAGAGGATTCTAGCGTCAGGTAATACTTGCTGTGCCTGGGGAAGCTACATCTGTGTGTGTAGAGGGAAAAGCCATTTGGCGTATTAGATACAATGTTTAGCATTTGCCAAGCTGAGTAAATACATTAAATTATTCTGATAATAAGTATATTCATTAAGGAATGAGAAGTAAAATTGTCTAGGTGCCTGATCTGTGCCTGGGAAGAACTTTATATAATTTAGTACATTTAATTTTACCAATAGCCCAGAAAGGAAGGTCTTTTATGTCCACTCTATTTACTGATTTTTTTTTTTAAAGAAAAACAAGGTCCAGTTATAGTAAAGATTTTTTAACAATTTATACATAGAAGTAATAAATCAGAACCATGGAAGATAGGAAGGCACACGTATGTGAATTCCAAGTACTAAGCTAATTCAAGCCTCATAACCTGATTTGAACTTCCTGGCACCCAGGAACAAAGGGGAATGTACAGTAAATTACAGGCCTGTTGTCATCAGTCAGAGAATATACCAATGCCTTAGGGGAGAGAGAGAAAGACAACAATATTTCTGGTACCAATTTTTGGAAGAAATTTTTCAAAGAGATCTGAAACAACAGTGTGGACAGTGCCTTTGACATTTTTGTAAGCAAGATTCACATGAGCACTTTTGTTTGATTATGATCCTTGACAAAAGCTTAGAATAGTAAGTTAAAGCATTTTGTGATCAATGCAGGTCAGCAGTGGTTAACTAAGGTGTACAGTATAGTCTAAATCGTCTTGGGTATTTTAATGTGATACAAAGAGCAAATTTAGATCTCCTAGGGAGGTGAGCTGACAGCATGTAAACTTAGATAATTATTCTTCATTATCATCATGATAGCTGACACTTAACAAATGTTTATCACATGTCAGTACCAGGGAAACCTTTCATGTAGATTATTTTATTTAATTCTCATAACATCCTGTAAGGTAGGCACTGTGTTTAGCTTTATTTAACAAATGAAGAAATCGAGGCCAACTAAAGTTAAATAACTCCCTTGAGGCAGCACAGCAAAGGCACAGGAGCTCCTGCCACTAAGTTTATAATCTGAATTCCTTTAAAAGCTAGCAAAGTTTGGGTATTTCGTGTGTGTGTGTGTGTGTGTGTGTGTTAGAATGAAGCCCCATTCAGCTAATGACACACGTGAGGTCCTCTTGAATTGCCAGTAGTCTCATGTTTTGGCCTTTGAGAAAAACCATTATTACCTGTAGGTGGACACCCCAATCTTTGGCCACATTTCCCACCTTGTTCTTCATCTCTCCCCCAGACCCAATAGTGAAGCCAATCTCCAGGGGTCAGGCAGGGTCAGGCAGGGACTATAAAGGAGTGAAAGTGCCCAGAAATTATGATGAGAGATGGTGACTGATACTTTGTTTTAGTGCTGAGTGTACCCTGAAGAGTTACGGCCTTGTCTACACGGGGTAGCTGCCATTTAGGGACGGTTTGCCCAGCACAGTACAGGTTCACACCTGCTGTCCCAGCAAAATCATTAATAACCTCCTCCCTCTTCACTTTCAGAAGTATCTCTCACTGCCACCACTCAGCTTCTGCTGAGTGTTGTCACGTGAGAATTGGCCTAGGGTTGCCAGATCTTAAACTCAGGTTCTTGATTTTTAAATGGTGACAACTATTTAAATGTGCAAGCCACTCTGTAGGCTAACATTGCAGGGACCAGAAAAATATGTATGTGGCTTGGATTTGGCCCAAGAGCTGCCAGCTCATGATGTCCAATGTCCATATACAGGGAAAGTCGGAAAATTACCAAGAGGATAAGAAAGGTGAGTATTCAATCTTTAAGTAGGAGGTGGTTCTCTGAACAAGAGGGCTTGGGATAGTAAAATTTTAGGCCTTTCTCTGATTGCTACAGTCTTATGTTGTAGCTCTGGGAAGAACTGTCCTGTAGCTATTGGTAGGAGAATTTGGATTAATCAAGAACTCAGTGGTAGGAGAAAGAAAAAATATTTAGAACTTTTTAACAAATAAGTGGGGTTTCTTTCTCTTATTTATTGAGTTGCCTTTGTAATTGAAATACTTTTGGGGACTGTGGAAATTATTAATGCTATGAGAAATAGGATCTGTGCTTTCTGATAAGTCTATTTTTAATTTGTGAAAGAGACTCAAATCTGAGACCAACCCTGCCGGTTACATCTATTCCTAAGGGCTTCATTATTAACGGAAATATTTCATTTTTAACTCCTGCATAATTAAAAATCTTTAACTTTCATCTACATTGCATAGCATGTTTAAAAGTACAGATGGCCTCCGACTTAACAATAATTCAACTTAACAATTTTTTGACTGTATGATGGGTTTATCAGGGTACTCAGTGCATCTTTGACTTAATAATGTTCTCAGCTTGTAATGGGTTTATCAAGACATAACCCTATTGATAGTCAAGGAGCATTTGTATTTAAACTACTGGCCCAGGTTGTATTGGGATGTCCAGCTGAATCCATGCTATGTCCCCATACAATATAATTTTTGTTGATTCAGAATATGACACTGTCAGACTTCAAAACACATCCTAAAATAAGTTATGTGAGGCTTTAGATGTGAAAATAATTGATAGAATCAAAAGCCTGAAAATTCCAAGGCTTTACATGTGATTTTTCTTTTTCTAAAATAGAAACTGTGTATAATTTGAGAGAAGAGAATAGACAACTAAGGAAAGCACACCAAGACATACATACACAGCTTCAAGATGTCAAGGTAAAATAAAACCAAACCTTTGACTATTCAACGTTTGCCTGCTTTACTTTGTAGAATGACTTTAAAAGCCATTCCCTAATTGACATGCTTTGCACGTCCAAATTGTTACTGTGGACTTTGCATAAACAGGAGTGTACCAGATACTTTTACAACTTCATCATAAGCTAAAATGTGGCCTGAAAATCTGAACATTTTCATTGGTATGCAAATTACACTTTTGCTAAATGGTTGCATTTTAATAAGATTTTTATTTACAAAGGTTTATTAATAGTGAAAGATTTCCTTTGGTTTGGATTTCATTGTTTTTTTTTTTTTTTTGTCTTTTTCCGTGTCCGGCAACGGATCACAACCCTCAGTGTCGCCCCTGTACCGGACCGGGACCCGCAATGGGATCGCAACCCTCGGTGTTGCTCCCGCGCCTCGCTCAGCCAGTGAGCAGGAACCGGTCTGTATGTGGGATCCGAACCCTCGGCGGGAGCGCCCCCGCGCTTCCCAAGCGGCGCACTATAGCAGTGCGCCACCGGGCTGGCCCTGGATTTCATTGTTAATGGTTATGATATTTGGGTAGCACATTTTAGATTTTGGAATACTGCATAAATCATAGTCTTCTCTCTACAATGATTTTTAAACTTAACGGTTGCTGCTACAACAACAAACAGGTAATGTTTGGGTGGTCATATCACTATCAGCCAAAGAAAAATTTATCTTAGAATGTTTTAAAACTCAAAATGTAAAATTCTTTTTTGTGTAGCAACAGCATAAGAATTTACTCTCCGAGCATGAACAACTTGTAGTGACTTTGGAAGACCACAAGAGTGCACTAGCTGCTGCACAGGTTAGAAGGGTAGCAGCCTCTATCAGTTCTTTTTCAAGTCTGCTTAACATTTCTGAATTCCTTTATGCATGTAGTCTCTTATAAGCCAATCTTCAGTGAGTTTCTTGGACAGAGCTACCCTAATCCCGAGGACCATGCATGCTTTCAAAATTCAGTCAAGAGAATATTAAACAAACTTCTGATTATTTTTTGCACTGATTGTGTGGTATACATGACTGTTTCTACCCCCACCAGTTCCTACATGCAGTAGTCTAATATTTGTTTAAACCACAGAAATTTTCTCATATATGTGGTCTTTTACAACTGTCTGATCTTTGTTAATTCTTGGCATAGAATCTGTAGGATTTTTGTGATGCTAGCTACCTACGTAAGTAAATTATTGTCAGACTTTTTCTTCTGTCTCTTGCTCCCCCGCATTGCAGCCTATACACATTCCTTTTGGGGCTAGGCTTATGTGTTGGCCAAATCACGGAGAAGAAGAGTCAATAGAGAGAGGAAAGCAAGAGTCATAAGCTCCATCTGTCCAAAGCTCAGAACAAACCCTAGCACAAGCAAGCCCTCAGTACATACTAACTGCATGAACAAGTGAACAAATACAACTGTTGGAGAGCTTATTAAAGCGATATCATACTGAGTGTTTTACAGCTTCCTAGTAGAAAGCAGGAATGGCCAGCCTAGTCACTATATTAAACTAGGTTGTCACTTTTCTTATTGCTAGAGGAATTACAAGAAAAGGGCAAAGGGAGACAAACTATCTGTGCTCATCAGAAAACCATGTATTATTTTTTATCCTTATAAAATTATTGAAAAGTATAATATGCTGGACCCTGATCCATCTCAGAGGCTGTAGCATCTGTGTTTGTGGGATCCCTTTTCAGGACAGTCATTGAGTGCCTCCTTACCGAACGATAGCTGTGTGGCAATTTTTTACATTCATGTACATTAAATTGACTTTAGAGGAGATTATTTCATTCCAAGCCTTCACAGTCATTGAGTGCCTCCTTACCGAACGATAGCTGTGTGGTAATTTTTTACATTCATGTACATTAAATTGACTTTAGAGGAGATTATTTCATTCCAAGCCTTCTTTGTAAAATTTTTGTCAGGTGAGGTGTTATTATTTTATTTGAGGATTTCAACATATGAATTTGGGGACAGTGGTGGGGGACAAAAACATTCAGTTTATAACACCATATTAAAACTTTCCCTAAATCTCTTTAGACTATAAATGCTGTTTCAAGCATCTACATTTCTCATGTAATCATCTTATGAGACTCTGTCCTGACAACCTGATTTTTAAATGTAGTTGAGGATTTTATTTAATCCTCACAACCTAATGAGTTATATGACATTGTGCCCTTTTATAACTAAATATACCAAGGCCAAAAGGAAAGTAGAGTAACTGGCCCAAGATCAGTGACCAGAACCAAACTTGAAGCTCAAGTCATCCTGACATCAAAGTTACGCCTAACCCTGAAGCCGTGTTTTTGAGACTTCCCCGCCTCACAGTTACTTTGCCCCAGACCTACTGGATTGTCATTTCTAGACTGGGGACTTAGGAGTCTACATTATAAACGTGATCCATAATGCACATTAATATTTGAGAACCACAGCATTACTGCCTTCAAAGATTATACATCTAGGAGGAGGAGAAAGAAGAAAAGGTAGAACTAAGTTCTGTGTATTCCTCCATATGCTTCTTAAAATATGAAAGGAACACCGTGGATGTCATTTGTTTTTCTTTTGACCTCCAAAGTTGGCTTGCAAATGTTTTGATAGATTTCTGAGGTAAGGGCCACTGCTAGCAATATCATATACTTTTGTACAAATTATAAAAAAGCACTCCCCTGGGACAGATTTATCAAGCAGACGTCTTCACCTTTGTGTAAGTAAGAAAGAAGCAAAAAGGCACCTTTTCATTGGGATGGCAGAGCAGTGAGCCAGGTGCTTAGCTGTGACAGTGGGAGGCTGGCTGGATTCCAGCTCCACGGGCCTGCCGTGTGTACTGTCCCTGTCGGGGAGCTGGTCTAGAAAAAGATTTCTGTGTTCATTGTATGTGTTCATATAAGTGTGTGTTTACACACCCAGAATTTCTGCTTTCAGGATAACAGTGTTGGTATATATGATGAATTAAGTATACACAGTGTCTATGGATTTTGATAGTTAAGGTAATTGATTTTTTTTCTGCCTTTTCTAGCTCGTTATATTAAAAACGTTACACAGACACACAGATACACCAAATATGCACACAGATACACCTATATGAATGTATTCTAGTCCTATAACTTCATTAGTACCTTTGCCACTTTAGAAGAAAAGGGCATTCAGAATTGAGGGAAAAAAATTCAGCCTCATTTTATGCCTATGCCATTGCTTCCAGAAAACCACAGAGCACAGTACAGGAAACATTCTGACAAGTAAGGGACCCTAATTGGGCACAAATTAACAGGAGAGAAGAGGGTGGCCCAAGTAATTTTGTTTATTTATGATTCCTTTCCAAGGAAAAATGTTACTGAGACCATATTGGTAAAAGATGTCTGCACTTGTATAATTGTGTGAATTTTTAATAGGTTTTTTTTAATGCAATAAAACATTGCCTAACTGTTTTACTTCTAATAATGATATTTATACTGGAAAGTTATTTACAAAAGTTCTGACTTCATTTAATGTAGTGTGGGAAACTAACATCTGCCTTATGTATTTTTTCTGTTTCCTTTAACTCTACTTTTAATTTGCATGTGCTAAAAAATGGTGAAGCATGTCCAAGTAAAGATAGCTAATGCATGGAAATAATCTGCATATTTTTCCTAACTTGTATTTAGGTACAGTATTTTTGTGTAGTCTTCCAGTGAACCCAAATGCCCATTTATGAATGATATCTTTTCCCCTCCTCAAATTGTACAATTTGCATCCAATTGTGCAATTTATATGCAGACTCAAGTTGCAGAATATAAACAACTGAAAGATACTCTGAATAGGATTCCAAGCTTTCGAAAACCTGAACCAGCAGAGCAGCAAAATATTACCCAGCTGGCACATTCTCCACAAGGTTACAACACAGCAAGGGAGAAGCCAACAGGAGAGCCAACAGAGGTAAGAGGCATGATGGATAATCTGTGATTAAGTCACTTTCCCTGTCCAGCTGTTATGAGGTGAACTGCTCTCTCTCAGTATTGACAAGTCTTCCGAAGGAGCAGGGGCTCTCAAATTTTAGTGTATGTCAGAAGCCCCACGAGGGTTGTTAAAGCACACATAGCTGGGCCCAAGCCCCAGCCCCAGATTTTCTGATTCAGGTAGTTTGGAGTGAGGCCTGAGGGTTTCACTTGTTAAAGCCCAAGCCCCAGCCCCAGATTTTCTGATTCAGGTAGTTTGGAGTGAGGCCTGAGGGTTTCCATTTCCAGCTGATTCAGCTGGTCTGGGGAGCACACTTTGAGAACTACTGCTGTAGTATTTTTTGTGAAAGACCTTACTGGCCTTGTCTTTATTCGTGTGGTTTAATTTGTCTTAAAGGAGCTGTAGTGTCTAAGTCTTTCAAGGGTTTTTGTTTTGGGGGAGGATAGGGTGAGGTTAAATGATCATGAGGATATTATGTGACAATCAGCCCTCTCAAGTATTAAAGTCAATAGTATATTTGAACCTGGTGTGGTGCTCAGTCCATACAGAGAACATCAAAATTTGTATTAAAAGACCTGTATAACACAGCCAGGGGTACAAGTGCTAGTCTCATGATACACTTCTTTCTATGTTTGTTCATCATAAAAATTAAGTCTTGCTTATGAATATCTCATATGTGAGTCATCAAAATAGTGTCTTATCATTAACTCTTACAATACTGTTTTGGCAATCACACGTGTAATAAAAAAGGGGATATGGTTATCTTCCCCCTGACAAAGCTGTTTTTAACAATACGTGTTTGAGAAGACTCTTCTATGGGAATAATTAAGTTGATTTGAGTGGACTTCATAGGCGAGTATGAACATCTTTATTTTGTTCAGAATATTCCTTCCCAGACAGGTTTAATGTGCCCATGGAATCTTGTTCTTTCTCCAGGTCTTATGTTAATGACTAACATGAGAAAGCACGACCAGATCAGCAGCCTGGCAATTGGTTCTATTCTCTGCTCTAGTTTGGCTAATCTTCCAGTGACTGAGAACTTCAGTTTTTCCATCTGTGAGGTGGAGATGGTAGTAATCTGCCTTAACCTTCCTCACAGGGATATTGCAAAGATAAATGCCAGGTGTTTGAAAGCACTTAGAGCTCTATAGAGAAATATTTTGTATAAAACCAAGGCAGTATTATGTCAAACTTCCCAGATAGATGAGGATATTGGTAAAATGTACATCTGTAGAAGCTGTCCTCAGATATCTGAGGAAGGACTTTTCTCCCCAATTTATTATCATACAGTTCAGTTTGTCAGGTTTGATAGCTATATCTTTAGTAATTAAAGAATAGGGTTTCACATTTATTTCAATTATGGGAGAGCAATCTGGCCTTAGAAATTATTATTTTCATATAAAGAAAGTTAGGAGAGAAAAGACTGATAGATTTTTCTATCAATGTGACATCATTTCCCTCCCCCCTTTCCAAGTAATGCAGATCACATACAGATTGCTGAAACTTATAGGGAAAACTGATTCGAATCAGCCAACTTTAGAGGAGGACTATTCTAAAAAAAGACGTTTCTTTTTTTCTGTTCAGAGTTTTCTGTATTAACAATACAAAATATTTACAAAAGAATCCCTCTGGTTTACAAAGAAATACTACTTTAATACATTAAGAATATTTTATTGTATCTTGTTTAATGGGAACTATTTTTAACTAACATGTTTGTCCATTAGTAATGGCATTCTTTATTAGTAAACCAAACTAATAAATAAACTCAACTCATCCTCAATATGATCTTGTCCTTCTATTTTTATGTAATTATTTATTGAAAACAAAATTTACATGGAAGGAAATTGTGTAAACATTATATCACTTCAAGTTAGAAGGTTTTTCTTTTTGTTTTTTTTCCCCCCTTTTTATTCTAAGGGAAAACAGGAATGAGATTGCTTTCGAGGGAAGGATTTACTTCTGAGATGTGGCTATTTGTAGTCTTTACTTTCCAGGTTATTTTCTGTATTCTTTCTGAGATGGATTTTGCTTATCATCTCTTTTGTTTAGGTGAGATTACACAACAAGGAGAATTTAGAGACTTCATTGCAACCATATGTTTAAGTCAGGACTATATATATTTTTAGACTCCAGGATTTTGCTTATGTTGTAGCCCCATAGACAAGGTAATACAGAAATTATTTCACTACTTTTGAAAGAGTGTTATTTTCAGTGATGTGCTTGGCCTAGGTGTCTCGAAATAGTGATGTGTGGCAGAAGCATGAAGCTGTTCCTAGAAGAACGGGAGAAACAAAACCTTACCCTCCCACCCAGAAGAAGGCTCCCACAGAGCCAAACCAGCAAGAAATGGAGCCCAGAGAGCCTGAAGTGCATCAGGTGGAAGAGGAGCACAGAAAGGCCCTGGAAGAGGAGGAGATGGAGCAGGTTGGGCAAGCCCAACACCTCGAGGAGGAGCACGATCCATCACCAGAGGAGCAGGATCAGGAGTGGAAAGAACAGCAGGAACAAAAAGAGGAAGCCAACCTTCTGGAAGGGCATGCTGCTGCCGAGGTACGAGGCCGCCCACTTCAAGCCTGCTGGGGTGGGGAACGTGGCTTTAGTGTTAGATGTTAAAGCAAAAAGCCTCCCCATACGTCACGGTCTCTAAAATGAAAATTTGAGTCATTTCACTAACACTGTGTGAGTATATTGAAGTTTTTTTATTGTCATGTTAGTTGCATAGCTACTTCCATAATGTAGAAAGATCATTGGCAACAAGAAAAAAGAGCTGCTGGCGTATGTGTGTCTTCTCCTTGTCATACTGCCCAGGGAGAGACTCATCCTCACGTCCCTTTTACAGGGTAGAATAGGCAGCCCCATTAGACACTTGCCTAGTAAGTGCTCGAGGCCAGTCTTGAGCATCTTGAGGAGGAGAAAAGTCTGATTTTCTGTGATCAAGAGGCTGCTTCTCCCCGTTCATTTACCGTTAGTATGTTGGCTTTTGTACATTCTCCATCAAGGTGGTTATTTTGTTATCAAAAAGTTGATTTTACAAAAATAAACCAAAAAAAACCCCTGATTTTATCACTTAGGGATATTACACTAGGTGAATGTTTACATTTTATGCCCAGCCTCCCTTTCTGAGCACAACCCTCACACATACAAGTAAGACTTTCCCCTTGCCTAAAAAACAGCCATTGAAATGATATTTTTTATTTTAATTTCCTTTTTTGCTGCTGGCTGGTTTAGGGATCGGACCCTGAACCTTGATGTTAGCAGTTCTAACCAACTGAGCTAACTGGCCAGCCCTATAAATGATGCTTTAAAGGAACTAAAAGTCGACCAACACTGAGTACAGCTAGTACTTTTCTTCTAGTATCTCTAACCTGATATCCAGTAGTAGGTTACCTGGTCTTTACATGGATGCTGATCACCTTCTATTTATTTATAACTCTGAAGCTTTGTTTGGCCTCAGATTTTCCTAGACTTCAGGCTGCTTGAAGCCTTAGTCTGCACAGGTAAGGAGGCCTCTAGCTGCTGGCTTAGGTAGTCATGAACTTAGCCTCGAGCTAAGCCTCGAACTAGCCTCGAACTTTTCTTAATCTTGTGTCCATCCCCTCTAGGGGAAGTACTTCTCCAGTAGGTTTAATTCCCTTCACCTCTCTACCCTCTTTCCTTTGGTGAGATTTGTGTGTGCTTATGTCAGTTGGGAGGTGGTGGGGAGGGGGCTGTAGCACATTGGGAAGCAGAGTATTAGAAATTGCTGTATCAGATTTCCCTTTAATCTGAAGGTAATATCTTCTCACCCATTCTTAGTTTCTTTGAAGAAAATTTGTTCTCTGTTTTTCCCTCGTAGTCCAAATTTGACTTTTTTTGTGTTTTTTTTTTTTTTTTGGCTGTACTCAGCCTGCGATTGGTATGTACATTGCTAGAGTTAATTAGCATCCCTCAGTCTTTAACTGTTCATGGAAAAAAGCTTCACTTCAGCCATAGCTTCAGCTCACGAATTGCCCAATTACGGTGAGGTTACCAAGTGTCTGCTTATATCATAGCCTTGCGAATATAAATTCTATTATGGTTTGAAACTGATTTCTTCTGTTGTGCCCTGTGTTCCATTTGAGAAGGGAGCACCTTGAAAATCTGCCTTAATGCCAGCAAATCAGGAAGATCAGTTGCTAAAAGAAGCCAAGGGCGATTCAGAGAAAGTTGGGAAATAGGAATGCTTCGGCTTGATGTATAATCACAGTTCACCTGACAGATAGGTGTTAATAAACCAACCCTGCCCCTGATGTTTGTCATGAGAAACAAAAGAAGGGAAGATCCAGAGGAGCTGGCTCCTCCTGCTCAGCACCAACTGGTTTTTGCCCCCAGGTGTATCCTTCAGCCAAGCCAGTTACCAAATTCCGATCACCTTATGAGGAGCAGTTGGAACAGCAGAGACTGGCGTTGAGTCGGGCCGAGGAGGCGCAGCGGCTGCGAGAACACCAGGAAGCTTTGCACCAGCAGAGGCTGCAGGGACACCTGTTACGGCAGCGGCAGCAACAGCAACAGCAGCAGCAGCAGCAGCAGCAGCTGCTTCTGGCGAGAGAGGTGGCCCAGCAGAGGCAGGCTGAGCCCGAGGAAGGCCGGCAGCAGCACCAGGAGCAGCTACGGTAGCTTCCCCTACCTGACAGCCACAGCCCCTCCTCTGGTTTTTATGAACATGTTGAAAACAGCTTTGTGTGTGTGTGAACCATGAGGTTGAGAGGCTCATATTGTTCCTGTAGCCAACTACTTGAGAATTAAATGACTGATTCTCTAAAAAATAATCCATAGTTTAAGCCTCAAAATTGCCCAGCAGGTTTTGTGCTAACTTTATTTTATCGTGAAAGAATTGTATCTTTTTAAGATATCTTTTGAAAGCATATCTGGAATCTCAAATTTTATAGGCACCTAATCGGTACCTAAAAGTTTTTAGAAAAATTTTGATGGCTGTTTCAAAAATGTTGAAAAGTCTTGTTTATTAATATCTTTAAAGGTAAATGACCTGTATCAAACTGTGCCACTTAATTTGTGTCACTGTGTTTATGTTTATGTACCCTGTAGGCAGCAAACTCATTATGATGCTATGGATAATGATATTGTCCAGGGAGCAGAGGACCAGGGAATCCAAGAAGAGGAAGGAGGTGGTGAGACTTCTTAGATGATAAATATTTTAATAAAATTACTTGCTTATATTATATAATATCAGTGAGCTACATGCACACCTAAGTCCAAAGCAGATTTGTGAATCGTGTGTCTGTTGTTGCATTTTTCTTAATCCTCCCAAACAGTGTACAGTGGCAGTGAAAATTGATTAAAATAGTCACTTTCCCCTCTAACATTTTCCCCATAGTTTAAGCTTTTTTATACTAAATAGTTACTTCTGACAAATTATCGTAGGATTGATATGCTTTAGGAAGCTTGTATGTTTTCTCCTTACATTGGAAGTCTTTGCATCACTGCCTTAAATTTTTTTCAAATTAAGTCAATAGTAGCTTTTATTTATGGTAAGCACCAGTTTGTAATTTATCAAAAATTGTTTACTGTGATAATAGATCTAGAAGGTAACTGTTCTCTGGCACAACTAATGCTTAGCTATGTGTCCTTTAGACTCTTTGTCTAAAGAAGGTGATTACACAAACTCCCTCAATAGTCTTTTGTGATATTTTGTAGCCCTTAGAGTCAAGAAATTGTTTTCTTTATGTCCCCCATGTGGCACTTCAAGCTTTTTGGTTCTATTATCAGTAAGGCCAGAGGACAGTTTGTTCTCTTCTTTGTTTAATAAATCCCATCATGCATTTGAACCCTGATGGTAAGTTACCCTCTATCTTTATTTTCTATGGGCAGAATACTCTCCAGGCTAACCTTTATTATCAGTAAGGCCAGAGGACAGTTTGTTCTCTTCTTTGTTTAATAAATCCCATCATGCATTTGAAACCTGATGGTAAGTTACCCTCTATCTTTATTTTCTATGGGCAGAATACTCTCCAGGCTAACCTTTCCTCTTATATCTTACTTATTGTAAAAAGTGACGTGTTCTTCGCTTTGTGAGCTCTTACAGTGCTCTTTATCTAAATATTTTCTCAGTAAGCAGCAAGTAAATGTCTGCGTGAGTATAAATGTGCGCTGTATCTGTGTCCGAGGCAGTCCTCCTCATTACCATAGCAGAAAACACATGATGAGCTGTATTAGTTTTTGAGCTCCATGGATGAGGTTGTTCTTTCTTTTATTTCTTGAAACATAATTAGTTTCCTCTGTTGGAACCTTTGCTATTTCTTCAGCTATTGCTAAAAATTAGATGGTTATTTCAGCAATGTCTAGTCAACCAGGCTTTTTTTTAAATTGACAGTGTTTTGATTATTGTTGTTTTCTTGCATAATAGGGGAAAAATTGTAGTCCCTGTTATAATGTTTGTTTTAGAAGGTTGGCTGGCATCACTCACCTATACCATCTCTTTAGAAACACAGTCTGGGAAAAGGACATAGCTTTATCCAGAAAAGCTGAGACATATACTTTATGTTGAATTAACCGTGGTCCAGGAGAAATTGGGTATAAGGTCCCTAGGAAAACCCAACTGGTGGCTTTTCTTTGATTTGAAAGGGAAGAATCCTATTACATTTATTTTGGCTGATTTTAATTCCTTTGATTTGCCAGCCTATGAAAGAGAAAACCAGCACCAAGATGAAGCAGAAGGTAACAGACAAGAGCCTCGCGAACAAGGCCCCCAAGAGGCTGAGCCCGAATCTGAGGCAGATGTAAGTGTCCTCTCTTTTGGTCCTGACACATGTAAACTCACAAAGCAGGAAGGAAACTTGAAAGTTTGCCTGACACTAACCCCAGCCATGGATACGTCTGGTATTTCATCAGCACGAAGGAAGGTGGTTTTGCATAATTATACATGAGCAATGTTTTTAACTGTAAACTGTGGTGTATGTGTGAGATGAGACCACGTTAAAGGTTGCTCTGGGAAAAAAAAATTCACAGGAGTTTCCTCTGACTACTTTTAGGTTAATAAAATTAAAACCTAGAAAAGCAAAATTAAGAGGCATGGGATAACTCTAAAAGATGGGGGGCATGTGGGAGAGGCAAGCATGGGAGTTGGGGAATTAGAGAGGGGAGCAGAGAAAGGAAATTAACCTTTCTCGAGCATGTCGAGCTGTCTGCTAGGACTTTAGGTATGTCATATGGCTCTCTGTAATCTCCCAACAGTCCAGTGACTATTTTAATAAATAGATGGATACGGGTGTGTGGTTTGAGAAATGAAAAGAGCTTCTCAGGTACCATGATGGTATAGAAAATTTAGAACATAAATAGGTAGACACCTAATAGCCAGCATTGTTCTTTGTGTTTACTGAAAAAGAGCCAAGACCCCCGTTCAGCTGGGTGGTCTGAGGCCTTGGCCCTGCCTCCAAATGAGGCAAACAGGTGTTGAGTGAGTCTGTTCTTGTGTTATGTGAAGATGACTTTTACAACTTATGTTAGCTCTCCTATCATCTTTGGCTAATAAGTCAACCACCAGGTTTATGACATCCAGTCTGTGCTATCATGTAGGCCCTGTTTGTATTGCTCCATGAGACAGAGAGGAGGATCCAAGCGCTTCCTCGATAATCACTGAGAAAGTCTTTCTGCTGGAGGCCTAAAGCCCATTTGATGGAAACGGCTTTTCCACTTGCACTGAGATGTGGCAGGACACCTTTTCCTGCCATCCTCTGCATCACTGTTTCTAAAAGTATGCTCCAGGGAACCTGGCCCTGCAATGTTTTTAGGAAAGAGCAGGAGCTAGAGAGTGCGAGCATCTGAGAGAGTGAGAAAGCACGTGTGCAGAAGCCTACAAATGAACGTGCAAGGGAGGAGAGGGGCAGGGAGAGAGTAGGTATTCTAGTCACTTAAGTTTGGGAACTGCTATAGGCTTCGATTACTTACCTATACGATCCTTTACTCTCTATCGTCTGTTTATTCGTTCTGAGGAACCACTGGGAAACACTGGCCTTTCTACCACACCTCCTTTTAATTACAGATTGTTAGTCCCGCTTGTGTCCCTCTTTCCATCTCATCTAATTATTTAGTTGGATGTAACATCTGTGCCTGTTAACCTTGACTTATTACTTGGTTGGAGTTGGAGCTAGTGTGTACATTTTTATTAACTTTTGCCAAAGGTATTTGGCACTCTTTTCCTGAAAAGAATGTCACATTTTCTCCTGTATTTCCACAAAAATTATTGATAACACCCAACAGAAAATCCATATTACAAGAGAATGTGGAGTAACTAGAAGTTTAGTGTGAAGGTGATGATTTGTTACTCTCTCCACTCCTAACAGAAGTTTCCCTTGCACTTGAATGAAACTGTTGGCCAGGGATGTGCAGATCATAGATCAGCAGGGGCTGCAGCCAGCTCTTGAATGTGCTCAAGGCTCTTAAGTGAATTGAAGGACACTGTTGTTGTCTGGAGAGCACTGATAGCAACCAAACCTTGCTCTGTGGCTTTGCTGTCTCTTGGAAGCATTTGCTGCTTTAGTAAGTGTTCAGCTGATGACCTGGGAGTGACCGGGGAAGCTCATAACAAGAATCACCATGTCTGAGCATCTTGGACTCTAAAATCTAGATCTTTAGGAGAACATGCATTATTTGGAAGGCCTTTGGGGGCTTAACTGGAAAAGTGAAATAATTCTAAAGTTAATAATATGAAGGGCATTTGTTGAACACAGTAACTGAGAGCTATTTGGAGGATGGGCTGGGGAGTTATTTTTCATAATATATTGCCAAAGACTGGGTAGCTCAGTTCTTTCTTTTCTCGTCTCTTGCCAGTGCAACATCTCTCACTTTCATTTGATCCATACTAGAAGTTGGCCATTTACTTTGGAGTTAGCTCTTTTCTTGTCTTGTTTCCTTTTCAGGTCCTCTTCTTGGATCCTTTCTGGTGAGAACCTTCATTCCCTTCAACTACTTTTCACCTACATAAATGTTAAAAATTGCTTGCAAAGGCAAGTTTGTGTAAAAATCAACATAGCAGTGAAAAGGAGTTTACTATTTGCCCATCTAAATCTCCCATAATAATTAATATTGACTTTTTCCCCTCTTATTTGGTCCTCTGACTTTTATTAGCTATTTTTCTTGTTGTTTATTCAGTTATGCTCACATTATTTGTGTTAGTAGAGTTTCGAGGATTATTTTGGAATCACTTGCAGAAAAGAACTGCTATTTGTGGTTTACTCTGATCCATCAATCACTGACAAATGAAGCAGGAGTTTTATCTTTTGACAGTGGGATGCTTGATCCTTGTGAATCTTGGCAAAGATAGATCTGAACAATCCAGTGAAGGAAAATTTCATTTTTTTGCCAGTATCTGGCCTTTCAAATGAAATTAAACTTGATCCTCAGTTTTGAAGTGGTGGTTGCTTTTCATTAAAATTTCACAGAGGGCAGCTGTAGAGGATATAAACCCAGCAGATGACCCTAATAATCAAGGCGAAGATGAATTTGAGGAAGCCGAGCAAGTAAGAGAAGAAAATTTGCCAGATGAAAATGAAGAGCAGAAACAAATTAATCAAAAGCAAGAGAATGCAGAAATGGAGGAACATTTGGTGGTAAGCAGATGCCACTGTGAAGGGTGGATTTAACCTGAATATTTTAATAAATGCCTGGTTTATGTAAAAGGTTAATCATAATCTACATGGACAGAAGGTTTGCTGCTTTGGTGATTTTTAGGCCATTATATGAAATGCTATGCCTGCTGTCAGAGAGAGAGGGTAATGGACATCCTGGGCTTTGTGTTGGAAATGATCATTCATCATTTCCTGGTCACTGATGCATTGAAAGTGTACTTTTCATGGTGGCATGTCTTTTCTTTGTCCCAGAGTACTGTAAAAGGCAACTCCAATGTACGGTAACATGAACCTCCCTTTTTCTTTCAACAGATGGCGGGAAATCCAGACCAACAAGAGGATAACGTTGACGAGCAGTACCAGGAGGAGGGAGAAGAGGAGGTAGTGAGACTGAGTGCAGGGGACTGATCAGATGGCTTGCTCTAGCCCACTGACCTTAAACAAACCTCAGCAGTATTGACTTTGACATGCCTTCTATAGAGGTATTCAGAAAGACGTAAGCAGATGAGAATGGGAGATTTAAAAGGAATTAGACCATGACAGTGGAGCCCACTGACCTTAAACAAACCTCAGCAGTATTGACTTTGACATGCCTTCTATAGAGGTGTTCAGAAAGACGTAAGCAGATGAGAATGGGAGATTTAAAAGGAATTAGACCATGACAGTGGAGACATTTGGTTAGAGGATAACAAAGAAAAGGGAATAGAATCCATCTCTCTGGTTCTGACCAGAAATCTTGAATTGAGAAGACATTTGGCTTTCCAGGAACAGTGGATTTAGATTTATGTGATCTTTTGTAAGAATATTTTCCCCTGTCTCTTTCCCTCATAAAAAAGAGAAGAACAAAACTGTGCACATCGCAGGAGTCTGGACTAACCCCTGAAACTTTCTCTGTAGACATCTCCCTAGTGCCGACCTCACAGGGATACCCCATTGCATCTCTCAGAATCCACTTAACACCCTCCCAACATTTTTGTAAATTCCACATCTGTATTTCTGGCCTCTTTCCTCTTAAGAATTCAGTATCTTAATTAAATTTAACAACAAAGAGAAGAAAAAGTATGTCGGGAGCTCAGTTGAATAAAACACATTTGAATGGAATTTCTTAATATTTCATTTTAGTTTGCTTTTTATTGTAAACTTCTGGTGTATTATTTTTAATTAGGTTTATATAGCATCTGTCGTGGTGCCACATTCCTATTATTAATTGGTGAATGCTGTTTGTTATAGCCATTTTTTCACAGCACTCTACTGTGGGCACAACTCCAATGCTTGGGTGTAGACACGGATTAGGCCAAGACCCATATTTAATCTCGCTATGGACCAGTAAGTAGTTCCCAAATTAAAGCCCTGGTTCAGAGCCCTTCTTAGCCAGGTGTCTTGCAAATGTGTGTGGCTTTGTCCCTAAGGGGAGCCTCATGGAAGGATGGACATTAGCAGGTTGAACAGACATACCCCACCACTGGACGTCCTGCTCAGAAAGCATGTGCTCTGCACCCACGTCCACAGTTCTCTTGAGCAGGTCTGTGTTCCTGTTCTTCCTGCTTTTGTCAGCTTTTCACAGCTACTGCTGACATTTGTGCTGTTACCAGGAAAACAGACAAGGATGTTGCTCTTTACTGCCGCTGGCAACATCTCTAGTCATGTGCATTCTAAACTGGCTTGGTCTTTTTATTCTCTCTTTTCTCCTGCTGTTCATCTTAATCAAGACCCTGAGCTGTCTTATCAGAAAGAGAGCATTAGAGAAACTAGCAGCCTTGAATATCAAGATATTTGGCAAGAAAAAGATGTTCATCTAGGCTTCTCTTGTAACAGGGTGTCTAGACTAATATTACTTTGTTTCATTATGTCAGATACCAGCAATCTTTGAGGGATTAAGAGAGAAGGTTCACCTTGGCTTCTGTTTAAAAATTCAGAAGGGTAAACATAAAATTTTAATCAGTATTTACTGATTCTTTTTCACTTTTATGATATGATCAGTTAACATGGAGGGGAGAAATCCTGTGATCCGAAAGGGATCAAGGATAGAAAGAAAAGAGAAACAGAGAGGCAAGAGGGAAGGAGAGATGGTGACAGGGCACAGGTTGCACTGGCCCAGTGAGCTCTCCCCTCAGCAGCTGTTCCCGCATGCTCCTCCCGCTCCAGGTCTGCCAAGCTGACAGGGCTTTGTCCTCTGGCTGTACCTGGCCCCAGATCCTAATTCTCTTTTCCTAGTTCCCAGCCCAGAATTCCTTGTGACAGGGTTTGTGTCCCCACTTTCTAGTCCCCTCTCACTCCAGGTTGCCACCCCCCATCATTTAGAACTGTTGCCATGTGAGCTCTCAGTGCCTCTCCTCTTCCTGGTGTAACTTTCCTGCCCCCTGAGCATCCCTTGTTCAGGTCGTGCTGTATTTTTTTGGTCATTCTTGAGATGATTAATTATTGCATCTTTCCACCTCTTTGCATCTTTGCCAGGTCTTCCTGTGAGAGGGGAGAAAAGTGGTTCCCAAATGCCATTTAAGCACTAGTGATAGAGACGAAGATCTCAGCAAACTGCAGCAAAATGAGAAAAGGAGAACATAGTATGTGGAAACATATATTGCATTGTTTATAAGTGTATGTGCACATGAGACAGCATTTGTGGAAGCAGCTCTGAAAACCATTCAATGCTGTGTAACTGTGCATTGTTTTTTTTTAATCTCCATTAAACCTCAGTCTTCCAGCTTCCCCAACTAAGCACTGGGGTGCAAAGCCTGTTGCTGCCATTGGTTCCCCTCCCTGGCAGTCCTCAGTCAGACTTACATCTGCCACCATTTGCTGCTAGGGAGGAATTGCGTCCAGCCAGGGCTATACCTGTTCAGAATTACAGTCCATTGGATTTACAGAATTGACCTCTTAAGAGCAGAGGACCCCAAACAAGTGTGATTTTAGGAAATTTGCACTAATCCCTGTCATCTTTTATCTTCATGTAGGAGTGTTATCTTTGTAAGACTTAAAAATGATCGTTTTTAAAAAGCATTTCTTGTTTATTGTTTGAGATTGTTAGAGTATTGTGATCCCTTCCTCTTGTTGCTTACATTTATCTACTTAGCAGCAAACAAGACAAGTTATGGTATTGCCAAAAAATGCTTTGTATGCCTTAAACTTATTTAAATATTCAAAAAATATATAATTTAAATGACTGCTGGCAAAACCAGAATGCCTTAATTTCCTCAACGTAACTGAAACCAGATTGATCTGAACACTTTAGGAGAGACCAAGCACAAGGTTATTTGTTCACCTTCAGTGGCAGAATATGTACACACACCTGCACTGGACTGCTGGCTTGTGAACCACCATCCAAGAAGCTTTCCACTGGCAAAAACTCTTCCAGTAAACATTACTTAGGGGCCAGCCCCGTGGCTTACTCGGGAGAGTGCAGCGCTGGTAGCGCTGAGGCCCCGGGTTCGGATCCTATATAGGGATGGCCGGTGCGATGTGCTCACTGGCTGAGCGAGGTGCAGACAACACCGTGCTGAGGGTTGCGATCCCCTTACTGGTCAAAAAAAAAACATAGCCAGCAGTGGTGTCCCTCACTACAGCCAACATTGTGGAAGGTCTTTCCTTTATCACGTTCCATCCACCTCTTTGGATCCTGGCATTCTTTTTTTTTTCTTCTTTTTTGTTTTTTTTCGTGTCCGGCAACGGATCGCAACCCTCAGTGTCACGCCCGTACGGGACCAGGACCGGCAACGGGATCGCAACCCTCGGCGCTGCTCCCGCGCCTCGCTCAGCCAGTGAGCGGGAACCGGTCTGTACGTGGGATCCAAACCCTCGGCGGGAGCGCCACCACACTCCCAAGCGGCGCACTGTAGCAGTGCGCTACCGGGCCGGCCCCAGATCCTGGCATTCTTAAGTTCAGCCTTCTGGCTCCTGGATCACCTCATGATGTCTTTCACATGCAAAGGAAAGGTGTTAATACATACAGGGACAGGGTGGCTACCGGACACTCATTTTAGACTCAGCGAATCTGTTTTATTTTGTTTGGGCCATTGACTAAACTTTGCCTGATCATATAGGGTTTATTTCAAAAATGCCTAAATCATTAGATTTCAGTGGATAAAAATGAGTAATGAGGAGCAGTGTTGGGAAATCTTTGACAAAGTGTTATGTCAGCTTTAGCAGGATACTAAATAGGGGGACATGTGGAAGACATAATTGGTGTGTCTCTATTTTAAAGAATAACATTTGGCTTCTAGTTATTAGTTTAAGCATATTTTAAAGATCACTTAGAAAGTCCTTATCATTTTATTCCTTTTCATTAATGCCTTTAAGACAAGTTTGAATTACTATCACCCCAAACATTAAGAATATATTATTAGAATGATAATGTGTATCTAAGAGTTTATTCTCTATATGTTTGGAAAATTACAAATTTTCATTCATGGGTTCCCTAAAGTAAAGAGTAATTTAAATCAGTGACTTCCAACTAAGATTATATTAAAATGGTGAACAAGCTAAGTTTTCTACATTGTGCTTAATGTAGAAAGATCCCAAGAGTAGAGAAGAAAGATTTAATAAAAGGGTAATTATCTCACCAGCCAGAGACATTCTTAACCTGGTGTCCATTGTTCTCAAGGAAGTGTTTTTTTTTTGTCTTTTGTCTTTTTCCGTGTCCGGCAATGGATCGCAACCCTCAGTGTTGCCCCCGTACCGGACCGGGGACCGGCAACGGGACTGCAACCCTCGGTGTTGCCCCCTCAGAGAGGTTAGTTAAATTTTTGAAGGTTGCACAGCTTGTTATTTATTGTTAGAATCATGATTAGAGCCCACTTAAGTCTGATTTTTAAAAGCTACCATAATTAAGTGTACCAGGCTTGGTAACTATATAGTTGATATGGGCAAATTCTTTATAGAAATTAGTGAATACAGAAAGAATTCACTAGGGCAGAACTAGAAAGTCACCATTTTTATAACCATTAATTAAAACAGTTGATTTAAGCAAAAATCCTCAATCGATGATATCATTAGATGAACAGAGGTCATGGAACTTTACCGTGGGGAGGGATCAGGCTGTCACTGTCTGAGCTCACTGACCATCCCTAGCCTCACTAAAAACATTATGTGCCTGTTGAGGGGATAAAAATGGGAAAAATGCATCTCTAAAGTACTCTTGCTTTTTAAGTTGGGCCCGAATTTATTCAAACCTTAAAGCTAACTTCCATTTACAGGAAATGTGGGAGTAGAGGAATGAGTTAAGTGATACCGTAAAGAAGCAGATAAATCCAGAATGTGGACCATTCTATGGGACAAGTCAACAGCAGTAGGAAAAAAGAGGGATGTGAAATCCATGTTATGTCTGGCGTTTGTTTAGATTTTGTTTGGAACAAACCAACTGTAAATAGACATTATTAAGACAATCAGATGTAAGCGTGGACTAGACATGGGATGATACCGTGGAATTATTAACTTTACGAGGTGTGATAATAGCATTACGGTTGTATAAGAAGATGTCCATTGTTTTTAGAGATGTATTCTGTGACAGGTAGGAGGTGAAATTACATGATGTCCAGAATTTTTAAGCATAATTCAGTGAAAAAAAAAATAGAAAAGTGATGGGTGATGGATGATGTACATGTGGCAATATTGTGAGAACTTTCGAACCTTGGCGGTAGCAGTAAGGGGCTTATTGAATGATTTCTTTATTTGTGTGTGCTTGATTTTCTAAATAAAAAGTTGCCCTTATTGTTTATATAGCTGGAAAAGTTGCAGAGACAAAGTTTTAGCCCAGGTCTGACTGCATAGAATATGTTAGGAGGTGGCAAACTACAGGCTGCCTCCCATTTCATAAATAAATTGTGTTGGAATGCAGTTGTGTCCATTCGTTTACATATTGTCTGTAGCTGTTTTTGTGCTACAGTACTGGAGTTGGGTAGTTGCGACAGAGACCTTATGGCCCAGAAGGCCCAAATATTTACTATCTGGCCTTTTACAGAAAAAGTTTGCCAACCCTTGATTTATATATTCTCTCCACCTTACTGCATGGTCTCAGGGAAGTTCTCTCCCATTATCAACTAACCCATGTTTAGTGTTCACAAATGATATTTTTTATTATTAAGGTTATAGAAGACAAGTCTTTGTTAATTGAAATTGACAGAGACACTCCAGCTATTTATTTATTTATTTATTTTATTTATTTTTTAAAAATTTTTTAAATTTTTTTTGTCTTTTTCCGTGTCCGGCAACGGATCGCAACCCTCAGTGTCGCCCCCGTACCGGACCGGGACCGGCAACGGGATCGCAACCCTCGGTGTTGCTCCCGCGCCTCGCTCAGCCAGTGAGCGGGAACCAGTCTGTATGTGGGATCCAAACCCTCGGGCATGAACGCTGCCGCGCTTCCCAAGCGGCACACTATCCAGTGCGCCACCAGGCCGGCCCAACACTCCAGCTATTTAATGACGTTTGAATTAGTCAGACCTTTGTATAGTCTGAAATAAGTGCTTCATTGTTTTTCTTCCAATGTCCGGTGGCATGTGACTGTAGGGTTCTGTGACTAAGAGCAGAAGAGATGTCACGGGCGACTCATAGAGCCATAAGGTGAGACAAGGGTGTCTTTAGCTTACTCCACTAGTAAATCTGAATATAAAAGATCCTCTATGACTCTGTCTGCAAAATATATTTATTTGGTACCGATGTAGTTTGGAGGCTGTGAGACCAGCCGACATTGGGCTTGATAGCAGAGGTTCACAAAGTCACCTTTGTAGGGTCCTGACAGGCCAGTTCTGTCTGAAGCTCACCTAGGAGGCTGCAGTTCATTCTTGTCTCACCTGAACTGGACACCTTGAGGCAGCACTTAATTTGTTTCTCCTTCATTATAACACCTGTAAACTTTCCTTCCCTTGCCCATTACTCAGATTTTTGGCAGCCACTTCCAACCCACACCCCCAAATTATGTAATTTTTGTGTCATTCAACAGGTCTTACTCTTATACCATGATCCTAGAAGAGATCAGGCTTTCTGCTGGTATCAGGACACTACATGATGCTTAACTGATGTGTAGCAGTTTCTTGAAATGTATTCAGATGACTTAAACCTTTAGGCATACATATGTTTTACAAAATAGTTAACGAGTTAGAAAATGTTTACCCTCCATTTCTGTGAGATGTGATTGTTAAATAGAGATTGTTTAGCAAAAATATTCAGATGCTTTCTTTGATTTGCATTTTGTGATAAATAATTGGAATTAATCGAACAGTAATAATAGTGTACATAAAGGAAAACTACTTA